CCTCCTCCTCCTCCTCCTTCTCCTCCTCCTCCTCCTCCTCCTCCTCCTCCTCCTCCTCCTCCTCCTCCCCCTCCCCCTCCTCCTCATCCTCCTCCTCCTGCTCCTGCTCCTCCTGCTCCGCCTCCTGCCCGTCATCCTTCTGCTTTCACTTTCTTCCTCCTCCTCCTGCGCTTCTCCTCCCGTCCTCTGGTTAGCCAGATTGAGGGGGCCGAACGGTCATTCATTATCCCTGGGTGTGTGGCTGAAGTGAGCATCCGTGGTGAGGATTACGCTTGTTGCGTTGTTGTTGTTACTGTTGCTGTTGTTGCCGTTGCTGTTGCTGCTGCTGGTGTTGTTGCTGTTGCTGTTGCTGTTGTTGTTGTTGTTGCTGTTGTTGTTGTTGCTGTTGTTGTTGCTGTTGTTGTTGTTGTTGGTGGTGTTTGTTGTTGTTGTTGTTGGTGGTGGTGTTTGTTGTCGCGTCGTCCCTCCCGCGACCCACCCGCGACCCACCCTGCGACCCACCCGCGACCCACCCGCGACCCACCCCGCGACCCACCCGCGACCCAACCCGCGACCCACCGCGCGACCCCCCCCCGCGACCCACCCCGCAACCCACCCGCGACCCACCCGCGACCCACTCCGCGACCCACCCCGCGAACTCACCCCGCGACCCACCCCGCGACCCACCCGCGACCGATCCGCATTGGTTTGAAGAAAAGATCGGCGCCTGCGGCGGGCTCGTTGTATAATTTATGAAACTTTGGCGCCTGCGGCGGACTTCTCCGGAGTCTCGCAGATTGCCGACGTCCCCACCGCCCCCTCACTCTTATCCGCATCTGCGGGGTGCTACGTATCTATCCGCCGATCTGGCGTGTGAACTACAAGGAGCCTCAGCAAGAGCTTCAGCTCTGAGCCTAAACAAGAGCATCAGCTCTGCTTAGGGGGGGTCGCCGGGGTGACTCTGCCGGGGAATGGGGGGAGGGGGGGGGCGGTCCCCCATCTGGTGTTTTCATGATGATTTGCGCATCCCCAAGATGTTTCGGGGGGTACCAGGGACCACCCCCCAGGACTCTCCCCTTGGAACCCTCGCCGGACCCCCCACGGGGAAGGGGGGGAGGAGGGGGGGGAGCGGTCCCCCATCTGGCGTTTTCTTAATGGTTTGTGCATCCCCAAGATGTTTCGGGGGGTCCCAGGGACCCCCCTCAGATCTAGCCGCTACCGCCCCCAAGACCCTCCCCTCGGAACCCTCCCCGGATCTCCCCAGGGGACCGCTCCAGGCACCCCAGAGGGCACGTCAGCTCCAAAAAGCGTCCCCGACGACTCCAAGAGTGCCCTCCCCTCGAAACAGCGTCCCCGACGACTCCAAGATCACCGAATCCGGAGCCTCCCGGATCGGCGGCACTGGCAGGAGGCCATTACAATATCAGCCTTCTCCACCCCCGTTCTCTCGTTATGCCCTTCCTCCACCTCCAAATTGCATCCTTCCTCGTGACCCTCCCCCTCATGATCCCGCTTCCGCTCTCAACTTCCTCCCTTTCTGCCCGCGCTGCTCATGCTCTTCCCGTCTTTCTCGATTATCCTCCCCGCTTCCTCATCACTTTTCCCTAACCCTCCTCTTCACCCTCCGTCCTCCATCCTCTCTTCTTCCCTGCTCCTCCCTGCCCTTCGTCCTCCTCATCCTTCTCCTCGTCCTCGTCCTCGTCCTCGTCCTCGTCCTCCTCCTCCTCCTCCTCCTCCTCCTCCTCCTCCCCCTCCTCCCGGTGCCAAAGACCCCCGCTACTCCCTGGCCCGCAGGCTGGTAGAGGATGCGCGGGGCAGCCTCTGAGGGTCCGTGCAGGCCCCCGACGAGCACCTCTACCAGGTGAGCCAGGACGTGGGGGTTGGGGCGACAGAGGCTTACTAAGGGCTCCACTCCCCCGCCTGCACGACCCATTCTGGGATAGGTTTTTGGGGCACAGTGGCAGAGGGCTGCGGACTCCAAGAGTTCAAATGTAGCCCTCGGCCGGTCGATTCGACTGGATCGACCATTACTCTGCCCAGGAAGACATGGAATACATCGCATTTCGGGGGGCTGACCCCTCATACTTTGCCCTAGCAGCGCGTTTCGACAGGAGCGCTACGCTAGGTTTCCTCCACGAAATGAAGGAGATGCTCTTGGGGCACAGATGCAGAGAACTACGGACGCCAAGAATTCAAAGGAGGTAGCCCGCAGCCGGCCGATTCAAGTGGATCGACCATGACCCCTCCTAAATAGGACATGCTATCCGCGTTCTGGGGTGGTGACCCCTCAAACGTGGCTTCACGCAGAATCTTTGTCGCCCAATGTTGCCTGGCGTGTTGCCCAATGAAGATGTGGAGAGGGTGAAGGGGGCCAGATTTGTCTTCACTGGTGAGCCCACCGTGTTGCATAGCCCGGTTTTTGGGGCGCAGGGGCAGAGAGCTACGGACTCCAAAAGTTCAAATGTAGCCCTCAGCCAGTCGATTCAATTGGATCGACTACTACCCTGCCCAATAAGATATTGAATTACTAGCGTTGCGGGGTCTTTGCCCTAGCAGCGTGTTTCGACAGGAGCGCTACGCTAGACTTGCCCTCACGGAGCGAGAGAGATGTTCTTGGGGAACATAGGCAGAGAAACTACGGACGCCAAGAATTCCAAGGAGGTAGCCCTCAGCCGGCCGATTCCATGACCCCTCCCAGTGAGACGTGCTATCCGCGTTCTGGCGGCTGACCCCTCGTACGTGGCATCACGCATCATCTTTAACGACCACTGTTACCCGGCGGGTTGCCACGTGCAGATGTGGGTGGGGCCAGGAGGCCAGGATTTGTCCACCCTGGTGCGGTAGATTCGGGTGCATCGACCATTGCCCTGCCCAGTAAGACATGGAATCAATTGCATTTCGGGGTGCTGGCCCCTCATGCTTTGCCCTAGCAGCGCGTTTCGACATGAGCGCTCCCCCATGAAACGAGGGAGATGTTCTTGGGGCACAGAGGCAGAAGAGCTATGGACTCCAAAACTTCAAATGTATCCCTTAGCCGGCCGATTCAGGTGGATCGGCCTTGACCCCTCCCAATAAGACGTGCTGCCCGCTTTCTGGGGGGTTGACCCCTCATACGCTGCATCACGCATAATATTTGCGGGCCAGTGTTGCCCCGCGTGTTGCCAAATGAAGATGTGGGTATGGGGAGGGGGCAGGATGTGTCCTAGCTGGTGCGCCTACTGTGATGCATTGCGCGCGCATGCTACCAGTGTGTGTGTGTGTGTGTGAAGCGTTGTGTGACCGCGGATCATTTAATGGTCAGTTTCGAGAGGTTCCGATCTGCGGCAAGCATGCCTGCGCAGCGCCCGACTGTGAAACAGAATTTATAATGCACCCGAGCGTGAAGCACAATTAATAATACGCATGTTACCGTGCACCCGAGCGTGAAACACACTTTTGTTCAGCTACTTGATTGCCGGCTTGTCGAAACCCGACAGGCTAGCATGTCAGACATGAAGTTGTTTGTCTGACCTATGGCCCCCCTGCATTCTAACAATATCTTAAGCACATCTTATTGCCGCTTGCACCCATTAGACATCAAGAGGTGGAACTGCGGCCGGCTGAGGAAAGAACCGTCCAGCCAAATCACACGTTCATGGATGTGCGCACATCCGAGTAGTGCTCCCGACACCTCTTGCCGCAAAGGGGGAGCGACATTAAGGGGTACTGAGGCAGAGAGCTACGGGCTCCAAGAGTTCATGTAGCCCTCAGCAAGTCGATTCAGATGGATCGGACATCACTTTTCCCAGTAAGGCATGGTATCCGCATTTGGGGTTGCTCACCCCTCATACTGTTCCCTAGCAGCGCGTGTCGACAGAAGCGCCCTGCCAGGCTCCTCCCTCCCGAAACGAGGGATAAGTATTTGGGGCGCAGAAGCAAAGCTACAGACTCCAAGAGTTCGTATGTAGCCCTCAGCCGGTCGATTCAATTGGATAGACCATTACCCTGCCCAGTATTGTATTGCATCCGCCATCTGGGGTGCTACCCCTCACTCCTTGCCGTGGCAGCGCGTTTCGTCTGGAGTGCTATGCTAGACTTCCCCCAACGAAACGAAGTATAGATTTTGGGGCACAGAGGTAGAAAATTACGGACAACACAAATTCATATGTTGCCTCCAGCAGGCCGGTTCAAGGGGATAGGCCATTACCCCACCCAGCAAGACTTTCTACACGCTTTTTGGGGCGTTGATCCCTCATACGTTTGCTCAGCAGCAACATGAACACGCATATGCACTTATGTACCTGCGAGATGCGTCTGTGGCGGCATCCGGGCTTTGGCACGCGCGCGCAGACTGGACGCGATAGACATGCACCACGTAGCAGTACAGACCGCAACAAGAGAGTGATACAATTTCCCCCAACATTCGTATCATCCAGAATATGTGCTGTCACGTTTCCGTTCTCGTGCTCTCGAGGGGGGCAAGATTTGTCCGGCCTGCTGGGCGGAGCGGGAGGCAGCAATGGCATGAACACGAATCTGCATTCATGTATCTGCCAGATGCGTGTGTGGCGGCAGCCGGGTTTTTGCACACCCGCGCAGGGAGTAGAATACGTGGGCTGTCGGTGGGTGTGCCTTCCACCTTGTGCCAGACATTGGCGGACGAGCTAACAGCATGGACCCGTGCTGGAAAACGTTCGCCTCTCCGCAAGGGGTGCCACCCCCCAGCCTGGATTCGATCGGATCCGAAATGGGCAGTGGGGTGAGGAGGGGATGGTAGCCAGCGATTGTTGTACATCACCCCCGTGCTTAGGTCACGAAGTAAGGTCACCCATTCATCCATCATTGTTGAGATTAGGGTCGAAAAAGCCCTCCCGTACCATAATAATTCAGCCGTGACAGTCCTCCTCCTCCTCCTCCTGATCCTCCTCCGCCTCCTCCTCCTCCTCCTCCTCCTCCTCCTCCTCCTCCTCCTCCTCCTCCTCCTCCCCCTCCCCCTCCCAATGCCTCTGCCCCGCCTCACCGCCCCCCTCCTCCTCGCCCGCCTCGCTGACCCCCCCGCCCGCCCCCCCGGCGCCGCTGTCGGGGAGGCCGATCCGAGCCGTGGCGGTCCAGCCCTGGCCCGGCTCGTCGCACCTGCCGGCCCCCCGCGAGGACGACGCCGCCCGCCGCCGCCACCTCGCGGCCGCTGGAAGGGTGGCCTGCCGATGGAGAGGGGGCGCCGGCGTCCATGGCTTCCCGTGCCCTCCCATGCCCTCGGGAGAAGGGGGCAGGAGCGGGGGAAAGGAAACAGGGCTGATGCTGGACGGGAACGTGGGCCTTCGGCATCGGATTTCGATCGTGCGTTTCTGCACCATTGCCCCCCTCTCCCCTTTCCAGAAATCCACTGCGATAATCTGGGGGAGGGGTGAGGAAGCCCCCGCCTCCTCTCGCAGTGGCAAAAAACTGTCGGCCTCCATGGGCCCTTGCCTGTTCCTCATGCCATGGAAAATGGTTCGGGGGGAGGAGGAAAACGGTCCCGGGGAAGACGGCCAAGACCTCGGAGGGTCCACGTTGAGGAAGAGTCGCGTCGCCGCAAGTCTGGGGGGCGGGGTAAAGGGGCAAAGAAGTACGAAGGACACCACTAGCCAAAAGCCACGGAAGGCAACTCAAACTAGTTACGTGTGGCCGCTTCCGGAACCCCTGAACCCAGACAGGTTGCCATCTCTCTCAGGGGGGGCATTCTTGACTTGCGCCGGCTCCCGCCGGCGGAGGTGGCCTCGATTCGCTTCTGGCGGCGTCATCCGTCCGGGCTGCCGCCCTCCGCCGATGAAGAGATGCCAGCTCCTGCGGCCCTCCTCCTCGCGCCTCCTGGACGGGGCCGGAGCGGAAGTCGAGCATCGGGGATGGGGGGGAGGAGGAGGAGGAGGAGGAGGAGGAGGAGGAGGAGGAGGAGGAGGAGGAGGAGGAGGAGGAGGAGGAGGAGGAGGAGGAGGAGGAGGCCGACGCGCCACGTGCGGCAGCGTGGCCGCGCCTCCCCGCCTCTGCCGGGGGCGCGGCGTGTGCCCCGCGGGCCCCGCCCCCCGGGGCGAGGGCCCCCCCGCGAGCTCAGGAGAGAAGCGCACTCACAGGCACAGGGAGCGGTCGGTCTCCCCCCCAAAACTATGTTCGCCAGCGCGGGCCCCAAACGATTGTGTGTTCCAGCGATCTGTGCTGTGCAGTGTCCGTGGGGCCGTGCACATGGTGCAATCAGCGTGGTGGAATCTATGCTGTGTAACATGTCTTGTGCGATATCAGTGGAGCGATCTATGCGGTGCAGTCGCTGGGGTACAATCTATGAGGTGCAATCCACACCCTTATTTCACATTCAACTTTTCGATGGGAAAACATCAACATCACTTCGAACATTCCCTCACACCATGAACCGATTTGACTGGGCAAACTCGGGGCGACCAACAAAACAAAATAATCGAAGCCGAAACGAAACCACAAACAGGAACGAACCGAACCGACTCGAACTGGAAAGTATTTGCATGGCTTGTTCGGCGCCTTTGCGCTTTTGTGCCTCGTTGCACATCGTGCTCGCACCACTTTATCCTGTTTCTCTACCTCCCCTTGCCATTTGCCCCCCTTCTCCCCCATTCGTCATGCGTGCTGTCTTGTCCTACAGTTTCTTCGGATCTCAAGGATAAAGAATCACACGACATGGTAACAAGTATTACTAATGAATAGTCAGCCAATTTCGTTCCCCCTCGAACAAGACATGTGTTAAGCTTCAAACTCCGATCGGAATCGTTCCGAAGCCTGCTTAGGACCAGCCGCGACGACCAGGATTCGTGGGGCAAAAGGGTAACCATCTTCCTCCGAGCAAGAACCACAAATAACGAGCATGTTGTTTTCTACCGTGCCTGCAGGCGGTGGGCTGCGCGCTCGCGAACGAACTCCGCGGCCACTCTGGCCTCCGGCCACGGCGGCTCCTCGATCGCCAGGCTCGCGCACTCGTCGTCGTCCTCGGGCGCCGTGCTCGCGTCCTGTGGCCGCCGGGCGTGCGTGCCCGACTCCTCGCGGCCCCCGTCGTCGTCGTACTCCTCCAGCGGACTGCGCGTCCTCGCCTTCCTCTTGACCCCGCTTTCGGCCTGAGCAGCTCGGAGCTATCCGAATCCTCGGGCGGCGACCATGCCGCTGGGCGCGTTCCCGCAGCGGCTGCGCCGCCAGGGTGCGCTCATGCGCGGCTGCTGTTCAGCGCTGCAGTCTCCTGCCAGCGCGCAGCGGCTGCGCTGCCAGCGCCGCGGCCCGCCGGGGCCCTAGCCTCGGCGCGGGGCCGGCCCCCAGCCGGTTCCCATCTGGCAGCTGGGATCAGGCAGCCAGTCGCGTCCTCGATCTCAGAGCCGCCAATTCCGCCGTGGCGCATCCGCGCGCGGGCCCGCCCTCGCTTCTGCCCGCGGGTTTGGGTGGCAGCGCCAGCGGAGCCCCAGGCGCCGCCGCTGTCAGAGGAGGAGAGAAGCCGCTGGAGCAGCCCGTCTGGCCCCGCGCTCGCGCCCCGCCCGCGGGCCTCCGCGCGCGCGCTAGCCCCCGCCTGCACCCGCTGGGGCTGCGAGCGGCCGAGCCCTCGGTTCCGCCGCCTCCAACTCCCGCGCTGCCTCGGGCGCCGCGCGTGGCGCTGCCGCCGGCAGGCGCGCGGCCCCTGGCGCCGCCGCCGGGCCCGCGGGCGGCGCGCCTGTCGCTGGAAACGGCGACCGCTGATGGCGGCGCGAAAGCCAACTTCGGGCCGAGGCCGCCCGGTCTCCAGAGCCCGCCTGCGGCGGCCCACCCGGCGCGGAGAGCTTCGAAGGCCCCGTCCTCGAGACGCCTCCTCTGGGTGCTCGAGCTTGTCGAGCTGGCGCAACAGCTGGCGGCGCTGGCCCAGCTGCCGGCGGCGCAGGCCCCGCCGCTTGTGGCGCCGCTGCTCCCGCCGCCGCTGCAGGGACCGCGGCGGCCGCGGCCGGCGGAGCAGCCGCGGGCGCCGCCGGCCCCGGCGCAGGCGGCCCTGGCGCGAGAAACTCGCCATGCGCAAGAACCTGCGCGGCCCAACCGCCTGGGGCCCGCGCTCGCGCGCAGCTGCCGCGAGTCGGGCTAACTCCGAGAAGCCGACGTGGTTTCAATGTAAACAGATCGATCGCTACTTCTTTCGAAAACGCGGCGCATCCGCAAACTCATGGAAACAAAAGCAAGTTAAACATGTCTTTTGCGCTGGGCAGAAATGAACATACACCGCTTATAAGCAATGATGATTAATGAACAGTTGCTGATGGCCTAACAACCAATAAACATCTCACATAACTCACGCATCGGCATGGAAGGTACCAGTCCGCAAATAATGCGAAACGCGCAAGAATGCCGACGAAACTAATCTCGCGCCCCTGCACGGCGCAGTCGGAGAAGCCGGGGCAGGAGCACGAAGCGCGAAACGCGAACGCCAACGATACGTTCACTTTGCGCTCTTGGACAGCGCGCGCGGCAGGGCCCGAGCCAGGAGAACAGAGCGCAAAACCCCTGGCGCAACTGGGACTCTGCCTGCGCGCCCCAGGGCGGCGCGGCCGGAGAAGCCAGAGCTGGCGCGCGAAAGCGCGAGACGCGAACGCAACTGATGCTTTTGTTGCGCCCCTAGGCGGAACGACTGGCACGGGAGGAGGGCGAGCGCAAAGCGCGAAACTTTTTTCCACAATAAACAAACAAACGCGAACAATCCTCACTTGCATCCCTGACGGCGCGCAACCGCCCAAAATGAAGATCGCGCAAAAAAGAAAAAAAATCGGAACGTGCTCCCCCGAACGAACTCTGGGCCGGGGCGAGGCCCGCATTTGCCCGAGAGAACCCCAGCCGTTTCGGCGCGCCGCCCGCGCGCTTCGCGGCCCCATAAGGGGGCTCCACCTCGGGCCCCGACGGAAGCGGCGCGGCTGCCAAATTTCGGCTCGCACCTCGCGCGCTCGGCGGCCCCGCGGGGAGCTCCGCCGAAAGCCCCAACGGCGGGGCGGTTCGCATGATCGGCCACTTCCGCGGCTGTCCATCCCTTCGCTTTGTCGGACTCATCGCAACATTAACAATGAGATTTTCGGCGGCCAGAGGAAACGGGGCACCTTTTTGATCCGAGAAGGACGATCCCGCTTCATTGTTCGAAGAGGCAGCGGGCGCCAGCAATGTCGCGGGATTCCATTCTGCAAGAAGCTCGCGCTAGTCCGCGCCCATGCGAAAGTCAGGGACGCGGCGTTCGCGCGACTGCCCGAAGTGGATGCCCGTCGGCAGCCAGCTCTCGCGCAAACAGATGCGAAGCCCCGAAGCGATGGCCAACTTCGCAAGCGTCTTTCGATGATCGAAAACGAGCCGATCCCACGGCTGCGCCGCGATAGTCGCCAAGTGATGCGCCTTTGGCTCGCGGGCGCCTTCGCCCGGCGAGCCGGCGCCGGCGCCATTGATGATGGGCGGGTGCTCATCGTTCTTGACGAACCAAGCTTTCCGTCTATTCTGATGAGCGACCTCCATGGGGACAAATGAAAATTGAAGGCGCGCGGGAAAATAACCCGCGCGATCGTCCAAAACCGCGCGGTGAACAACGCGCTCTGGCGTCGTTCCCGGCGCGGGATAGAAGCCGAGAGTCTATCGGATATTCAGAAGATATCAATCCATAATCTCAATGGCCCTCGGAAGTTCTCGCTCGCCCCTGGGATTATGTAAAATCGAATGGTCTGCAAATCGGATTCGAATCCAGACCTCGGCTGACAATGGCTTGATCTACGTGCCTTACCTCGTTCAGGCAAGCCCTCCGACGAATCGCCTGGCCCTGCTCGCGCATTGTCTGAACGCGCTTGCGCGAGTGCTTGCGCGAGGGGCCCAGGTGGAAATCGTTGGAACTTGCCGCGGCGAGCCTTTTAAACGCCTGTCTTTGCGGTTTTTGGCCTCTTGCATAAACTCGGCGATCCGTGCTGGAATTTTCCAAAACTTTCGGGTCATTCGCGGGGTCGTCGCGCCAGCCGCGGCGCCGCGAGAATTCCGCGGCTCGCTCTGCGCCCGCCTCGTGGATATAGCTTCCGCGCGAAGATCTGACCCATGAAACTTCGTGGCTGCGGTATAACATGCGCGTTCATCCGCTCCGCGACGATTCTCGCGCTCGCCCCCGCCAA